AACAAATAATACAAATAATTAACTAAACATATATAAAAATATAACTTGTTAAGCATAATTTGATAAAACATGGTTTTTCTAAATAAAAATAGATGCATTAGATAGCCCATAAGAAACTAGTTTTAGGTATATATTTTTTATGAAAAAAAAAACAATAGTCATTTTTCGTTACGCGATGACGTCACAAAAAGGGTAGTTTTACGTAAGCTCGTTACAAAAAAAATATGGCACATAGGAAATCAACTGTTATACGAAAAGATATATCTGCTATCATGGTCTTGATTAGTCTTAATCAACTTCGTATATATCATGCTGTTTCAAAATATGGGTTAAGACATCCAATGGCCTGAATAGAGGCGTTTTCTTTATCTATTAGTGACCTCTCTATTAATAATTACCAAATGTGATGTCATTGTTTGTTAGCAGTGATATTTGTCTAGCTAACTAGACACCCTATGATCTGTTCTTTTCCCTCTATTGTTGTTGCCGTCTGCAATATTCTTTTTTTTTTCCTTTCACCATTCAAAGAACTGTGAAAATCAATTTTTCTACAAGTGTTCGAATATGATATATCCAATGAAGTAATTGAAACACTTTCAGAGATCGGATATCTAGGAAAGCGCCAGAAAATAACTTCTAAACGGCTTTTTTTAACATAATTACAAAGAGTAAATAGTATAAAACCATATCTCTGGATGTCTATCGAAAACTGTACAAAATTCAATCAAATTAAATCGAGATAAAAGCTTTATTTCGTTAAGGTCTCCCAACTCCGTCATGAAGAGTCAATTTTCGTCAGAAATTTCGAAATTGAGATAACGGCATGGAAAGATAGCCTGTCTTTGGATCTTCCAGAAATGATTTAATTTTTCATCGGATACATCTGTTTTGGTCGAAATTTTTGATGATTTCTATCATGTTTTGATTGAAAAAACTGAACATTTTTTTCGTTTTTTTTTTCATTTTACACTTTTTAAATCGTACATTCCAAATTTCTCTTCCAGTACTCAGACAATGGATTTAATATGTTTTTTTTTTGTTTGAAAGACCAAGTCAAGATGCACTGCAGTACAGAGCCATTTTTTTAAAATTAACCTTTGTGTTTTTAATATATATACAGATAATTATATAAGTCGGACGCTATTTTTTCGAGACCTTCAACTTGTGATTCCTTTTCTTCACTTAAAAAGCAAGGATTTTGAAAAAAAATATTAGATACATTTTCTGAGTGCCGAAAGAGAAATTTTGTTTGCCAAATGAGCAATGTTTGACTTTTGTCTAGTGAATATCTTCCTGCAACATCATAGTATAGTGCTGAAAATTTTACCATAGCCTCTCCACTGCAGCTTCAATATATCCTGAATGTTTCTTGCGATCTGAACATATCTGAGCTGAGATCGATTTTTGAGGTAGAGGCATTAAATGTACAAATTAACGAACAAGAGTTATCACATTCTTAATAATTGATTTTCCATTGAAGAAAAAGATCAATCAATAAATATTTTTATAAAATTGTCTCTATAATAAATTTTAATATTATTTATTTCGATATTTTTTAATCATCAACTTGAAGAACAACGTAAAGGAAATTGATCATGTGACATTTTCTCTTTTATCCTGTTTTTAATTTATTAATTTATCTGGATGGGCATTAATTATCTGATTGAAAGAAGAACAACTGAAAATATTTAGGGTATACCAAAAGTTCTGGCTACGGTGTTTAAAGAACCTTGTCGGATAAGGTGACCTATTCAGAAATAAGAAACTAAATATACCACATTGTAGAGCTTTTCAAGGCACATCAAATGGTATATAGTAAAATCTATTTTCACAAGACTTTGAAAAAATTAGAATCAATTTACTCATAGATGATTACACATCTGTACTTACACACACCCTCATTCATATCCATAACATGACCGAAAATGCTACATATTTGAGATTGTGACACGTTCAAAACTCGACAAAATGATGCGTGAGAAAAATTACTTTTGATTAATACCAAGGACCACAATATCCATTAACTTGTCATGTTTGAGTATGGATGTGGATGGGTGGTATAAGTGTAGTCGCAATCAGTAAATTGATTATAATTCCTTCAAAGTCTTATGTAAACAGAATTTACTTTATACCGTTTGATGCACCTCGAAAAGCTCTATGATGTGATATATTTGGTTTCTTATTTCTGAATAGATCATCCTATCCAACAAGATCCTTTAAATGCCTTGGCCAGAACTTTTGATGTACCCCTAAGTAAATATATATATATGTAAACAATATCGATTTTCTACTTTCATTAACATCTATATGTGATGCACATTTCTGTATCATGGAAAAAAGAAATTTTCATTTTAATGATTAAAAATTTAACTGAAATGAAAAATTAAATATTCTCTTGAAATGTTTTCAATCCTTTGACAAATCTTCATTTATCTTTGTAACAAAAAAAAAAGACTTTCCTAGATTACATTTAATAAACACGATAAAAAAGTTAGAATCGACGGATGCAGAAGATGCATATTTCGTATCTCTGATTTTCTGAATATGTGACACTGCTGATGAAAATAAATATTGCATTAGAATCATATTTAAACATCTCTGTGACATATCTGCCATAGAAAATTGATCACAACCGTAAAAACTTAAAATAATCAATGTGCCAAGGAGTACACTATCTTGTCTTGTCAAGATTAATTGAGTTCATATCAGACAATGGATGTCTTTTAGTAATACATCCCTTATTCTCGTTTGAGTCTACTGTGTGTATTTTTTGCTGTAAATTGAATGTACGTGTAATCGTCAGTGACATAGTGCTGCTGGTCTTATTCTCTGAACTCATTATTCAATAAATGGTTACGATTCGATGTTGTCCGGATTTTCTCCAACATCTTATTCATTTAAACAAAATAAAAATAAATGCATTTCATTTGAAAGTGAACATTTTTAATAATTGTTATTAATAAAAGTATATCTAATGGAATTTCAACCAGCATAATAAAATTCTAAAAATCTCTTGAATAGTTGAAGAGTTATTCATATTAAAAAAAAATACTTACAAAATACAGTATTTAATCATTCCTATGATTTTAGACAATGTCAACTGTTGTAGTAACACTAAAGATAGTGTCGAGTTAGCTTACTTATCTTCTTGAAATATCAATGATAATATTTTGTATAATTGGAACAATATTAACTGTTCGAATTGCTGCTAAATAACGTACATTTTGACATAATTCAACTATAATTTATTTATTAGTTTATGTGAAATTTTCAAAAACAATTTTTTGTTTTTTTATCCAAGTTGGATGAACTATTCATATTTTTTTGCACTCGTTGCTCTCCTATAAATTATTTAAAAAGTGCAATCCACCTCTTCTCATAATCAAACTTATGGTTAATTAAACATTTTCGATTCATATTCATATTATATATATATAAACAACAAAGAAAGTATAATATCGCATAGTTAATTATCATTATTGTGTCTTCATTGATGATAATTACACATTTTGTATGCTTTGATTATTAAAAACTAATTATACTATTTTTTTTTCCTGGTAATTAGATACGAATAATCAAGCATCATCATTACTTCTACTTGATTGTATCAGTGTTTTTTTTACAGAAAGAAAAAGTCAAAACAGTGTCATATTAGAATTATAATCTTGTAGTATATTATTCAACGAAGATGTCGACTGCATCAACAATCAATACAATATCGCGTTGGCTCAATTATCTTCTTGCTATACCAATGATTAGTTTGGGATTTATTGGAGCAATATTAACAACTATTATTTTTACAAGACAAAAATTATTTCGTCATAATTCAACTATAATTTATTTATTAGCAGGTGCAATAATGACAGCAATACATCTTCCATCTATTTATTTACAAAGTATACTTGTTGATGGTTTTGGTTTAGGTGTATTTAATACGAATGATATAGCTTGTCGAGAACGTAATTATTTATTTTATGTAACAACTGTTGCAGCTATTTCGTTTCCATGTTGGGCTTCATTTAATCAATATGCTATTACATGTCGTGAAGCTTCTTTTCGAAATCGTTGGAGTTCAATAAGAGTTATACGATTGGTTATTATTGGTACTGTAATCTTCTGGGCAATTATCTATTTTCCACTAATTTTTATTAGTAAAAGTGTTAATGGTATTTGTGTTTTGGTAGATGGTCCAGTTCAAATATTTCACAGTTATATCTTAACACCTCTAGTCTTTATTATAGGTCCAATTACTTTAATTACAATTTTTACATTAGGCACTATAAGAAATCTTCGTTCGACTACTCTTCAAAATCGTCATGATCGTTTAGAA